ATAGACCTACCCTGACACGTCGATTGGTGAATTGGCCGTTTTCGGTTCGCGAGAGGGCGTCGCGGCCGTTATTTTTGCGGGTCTAGGTCCGTCGGTTTTGGTCCTAGGCCGTTTTCACTAAAGGGTGGTTTACTAAAGGGAGGTTTGTCCACCGCCGAAAATTTGTGGAGAGTTCAGCCACAACGCCAGACCCTCCTTGCGGACACCAGGGGTTGGGCAGAACGAGGGAGGGGGGAGGAGGACGAGGAGAAAGAGGACGGGAGAGGGGAAAGAGGAGGGAGGACCAGTGTAAACCCAAGAGCCATCAACGATGTTGGAATTAACCCTCCCTCCAAGCTCCCTCTTCATAGGCCACTACAACGGTTCATTTCCATTGAGGGAACTGCTTCGTTGGAAGACAACCGTTTGAAGATCCTGAAGCGTGTCAAAACATTGTTCTCGGGGTTCCAACGCCATGTATCAACCTGACTGTTGCGTCTCTGCGATTCGGAATCTTGCCAGAACGTAACTTTGGGGACTTCAGCACCGCGAATCAAAATAAACTGTTGCGCCCGCATGATCCTGAATCCTTCCACAACATTTCCGGTACGTTGATCATGGGAATCCGTTAAATTTCTGCAAAGACTTAAAACGAATGTGTTCGGCGCTAAGGCGAGAGCCACATGTTGAAAAGGAATCACCCTCAATCCGTCAAACTCTTGCATTTTTGTTAGAACGAGTGTGCGCGGCGCTAAGGCGAGAGCCACATTTCGAAAACGACCCGCCCTCAATCCATGAAATGCTTGCACATGTTTAAAACGAATGTGCGCGGCGCGAAGGCGAGAGCCACATTTTGAAAACGACCCGCCCTCAATCCGTGAAACTCTTGCTTGCAAATTGTTCAAAATAATGTGCGCGGCGTTAGGCGAGAGCCACATTTTGAAAACAGCCCGCTTTCAATCCGTGAAACACTTGCACATGTTCAATACGAATGTGCGCGGCGCTGAGGCGAGAGCCATATTTTGAAAACGGCCCTTCCTCAATCCGCGAAACTGTTGTCACTTGTTAAGCTTCAGAGTCGTACATGGTGAGGAAGTCTCAGGCGAAACGCCCTGCTCGCCCTGAAAACTGGCCTCGGGGTGCGACAGGGAGAAGTTATCTAGAAGGAGAAGTAATGGAGGGAGGAGGAGGAGGATGAAGAAATTTTGTGGGACGAGGACGAAGGAGGCGGCGGAGGAGGAGGAAGAGGGATGATAAGGAGTCCAGCCACTTCTCCTCCAGGGCCGTCCCCAAGCCGCGTTGAGCTCACCGTTTCCGATGTCAGCCCCATCAGCCCTGCGCTGGCCCGGGCTGTCTCGAGGAGGACCTGGAGGAGGGGTCAAGAGGAGGATTGTCTACGACGGTCCTGGGCATGGGGGTGGAATGTCGAGGACGCGCTGGCTCTCTGGGGTACACAGGCAACGTCCGAAAGTGGTGGGGAGGGGTCGCCAGGATGTCCACCCCCTCCCAACACACTTCAGTCCTACGCCTGGAGATGGGATGGCGTCCTATCTCTTGGCTTGCGGTACCTAGTCGCCCCTCCGGCTCCACGGGGCCTCCTGGAGGGAAGACGAGGAGTGATTGGGCGCACGCGAGTCGACGTCGGCCGTCACCATCGCGGGCGTGTGGTGGAGGTGGAGACGAGCTGGCAGGTTGGGTTCTGGCCATTAATCAGGGAGGGGGTGGTCGGTTGTTGGGTCAGGGTAGGGCGGGTCCCCTCCGGGAACTCCTCCCCTCCTTCCTTCTTCCTCCCCGCCCTCTCTTTCCGGACGACGCCGCCGATGACGGGGGCAGGGGCTGCCTCGGCGGCGACAGCGGCAGCGACATCGACGAGCACGACAGCCTCGACGACGACGACGACGACGACAGACGACAGACGACAGACGACAGACGACAGACGACAGACGACGACGACAGACGCCTTGCTGCCGACGCCCGGCAGACGCCGGGTGCGGCGACGACGGCGCCGACGACGGCGCTGACGGCGGCCCCACCTTCTTGCGCCAGGCGCGCGGCGCGCGCGGATCCCGCGCGCACCGCGCCCGCCGCTAGCAGGCCGGAGCTGCGCTGGGCCCTGAGGGGGGCTTCCCATAGGAGCCTCGTCGCCTTCGTCGTCGTCGTCGTCATCGTCGTCATCCCTCCTCCCATCCTCCGCCTTCCTCACCTCGAAGGGCTTCCTCCTCCTCCTCCTCCTCCTCCTCCTCCTCCTCCTTCTCAGGAAGCTACTCCTGGGAGGTTGTGATCAGGATCGGCGCTGGCACATCCGTGGTCGGCAGCTGGCCCAATCTCGCCCGATCCTTTTTAATCCAGCTGAGTCCCGTTTAGCCCGGCGCAATCCCGCTCAATCAGGCCTAATCTGACTCAATGGCCCCTTCATCTGGCAGTAGGCCTGAATCGTTTTGACGAAGATTTCCCAGGAGTTGCTTCCGAATTCTCCTTCCTCCTCCTCCTCCTCCTGCTCCTCCTCCTCCTCCTCCTCCTCGCCTCGAAGGGCTCCCTGGGTAAAAAAGATTATGGCCGTCGCATGTTTGCATCGGCGGGGAAGAGGTACTTTGGGCTGGTCGGGATGCAGCCTTGCGTGCATGGAGGGGTGGTAGGGTTAAGATCAATCGGACGAAGAAGCGCAGCAGCGCAGTAGCGCGCGCATTGCGTCGGGCACGATGCGCGATCACGCCACCCGAGGACGCGGAGTGCGAGCGGTGCGGCAGATTCTCCGTGCCGCACTCCGCAGTCTGCGTTGCCATACGCCGTCGGGGCCCCGCTGTCCGACCGGCCTTGGCCGTGAGGTGCCAGGCCCCGTCGGGGCTCTCTGGGCGTGCACTGCAGTGCCGCATCTCGTGCGGCCCCCCGTCGAGCGCCGCCGGGCTCCGCCAGGACCCGCCCCGCCTGCTGCCTCCGCTGGTCTCCTCCCCGGGTCTACACTGCCCTCCCCCCCCCCCATCCCCATCAGGGGAACGAAGGATGGCATAAGCATGAAAAAGTGTCGGAGGTCTGCGCGGATTTCTCGGCCCCGCGCTGGACCCCCCTGGCGGCGCCGGGGGCTTGTGTGCTTGTGTCGTTCCTCGTTCCCCTACCCGTGCCCTCCTCTCTCATCCTGGGTCTCCGTCGGGCTTTGCCGCGGCCCAGCGGCCTCTCACCCCTGTTACCGGGCGTCGTGTCTCAGGGTGCTCTTCCGAGTGGGTCCACGGAGGCCCGTTCCGGGCCGCGGCGCCCACAGGAAGACGCCCACGGCGCGAATCCCATGTCGATGGCTGGAACGTAACACGAGGCCTTCCAGAAAGGGCCTCGCCTTCGAGGATCGAAGGAGTTGCCATCTCTTCCTCGGCGGAAGGGCGGCAGAAGGTGGCGGGATTAGAACGAGGACGGCTCCGCCGGCGGAAGCTCGGCGGAAGGCGGCGGGAGTCAAAGTTTGCGGCCCCAAGAGATGACAGTATGTTTGGGCGCAGGGTTTCCAGAAACCGCCATATGGGATGGCCCAGCGCAGCTGTGTCTCGTGCCAGCGTGCTCGTTTTATTCGTGCTCGGGCAGCCCTATGTCTTTTGCTCGTCGGCCCGAGCGGGCCACCGCAGGGCTGGTCCGATCTGATGCGCAGGTGCCCGAGGCGCGGGCCGCTCTCGGCGTCCTTTCCTGAAGGCCCGCGCGAGCGCGGTGTCCCCCGCTCGCTCAAGCAGTGTCGAGGCGCCCTGGCTTGCCAGTAGGCCCAACAAAGACTAATCTAGGAACCTGCTGGGGGTTGCACGGATTGCTCTCAGGACAATTATCGTTGCGATCGTCTTCGTTTGCTACATCGGCTCTATGTTAAAAGAACATTGCTTCGTGGGAGGCATACAGACATGACTGCCGGGACGGTCGGTCCGTGCTGAGTAATCAGTTTGTCCATTGCGTTTCCAGCCTTTGGTGTTTCCAGCTTCTTCGCAACGAAAGCTCTTGGGCTCCAGGGGCCTGGCACCCTCCCCCGCGGCGCTCTTCGCCTCGAGGGGCAGGGCTCCTGCGAGCCTCCGCGTCCCATGCCGCCCCCCGAGAGGCAGCAGCACCAGGCAGGAGAACGACCGCGTGGCGGCGCGACGGGGTCCCGGTCGCGTCGACGCGGCGACGGCCCCCGGCGCTGGCACGCGAGGTTGAACGCCGCCAGTGGCCCAGAATCGGCCAGTCTTGAGGATCTCTCCTTTCTTGACGTACCGGCCTATCTTCGTGTTTGGGCTCTGTCTGATCATGTTTGTTTCTTCCGGCGTTGACGCTGTAGGGCAATCCGCAGCTGCCGCTGGGTCTCGCGCAGTGTTGGTTCCGTTTCTGCGGATCCTTTGCCGTGGCAGGTCCCATTCCGAATGGGCCATTCGCATGCCATCTGGTGTCACCCCGCTCGTTTATATTAACAAAAAGAAAAAGAGACAGCGCCGATCGTTTCAGACTGAGCGATCCACGAGGTTCAGAAACCAGCGCCAGGGTCGGCACGGCACGGGCTCGTCGTGTTTTTGTTTTTGTCGGGTGCGTGGCTCTGCGTCAAAGGTTTGATGTGCCGCGCGGCTCGTAAGTTCAGATCTCCCTTGGGGCATCGAAGCACGAACCCGGGGAGGTCACCATCTGGGACTGGTGTTCTTACAATGCGCTATGCGATTGCTCTTTTACCCATCGGAGCAGCAGGGATGGCGATTCCAAGAGCCGCAGGAGGAGGCCAAAGTGGCCGGAGGAGGAGGAGGACAAGGAGGAGAAGGAGGAGGAGGAGGGGGAACAGTGACGCGACGAGTGGAGAGTCACCCGACAGCATGCCGAAGAGAAAAGGAGGAGCAGGAGGAGGACGAGGTCGGGCAGGACGGGAGGCGGGGGGGGGAGGAAGAACACGGTAGGACGGTAACAAACGAACGATCGTCAAGCCGTGGCGGATTCGTCCCACGGAGCCCGCGGGGCCCGCAAAGTCGCCGAGCTGCACCACCGAGGAGCCCCCGTCGTGCGGAGCGTCCGTGGCGGAGCGCGCCGCCGTCGACATGGCGACGGATGAGGACCGCGCGGCGCGGGCCCTGCTGCGGGGCGGAGGGCGGGCGGCCTGGCCCGGGCCTCCCGCACGGGGGGCCGGAGCAGCACGGGGGCGGCGCAGCGCGCCGCCTCGGTGAGGCATTCTGGCGACGGAGCTCGGCGTGGAGCCGACGCCGCCGATGCATCGCGGGCGTCGCCAGTGCAATGCCGATGCACCGGCGATGCATCTCAAGGGAGGAAGAACCACCTGGAGCGGACAAAATTGGCGTTGACCAGACGGCCCTGGGCGTTCACTAAACAGCCCTGCCCTGTTCGATTCCTTTGTTGGGCGCGTTTGCTAAAGACCTCGCGTGTCGGGGTGGTTATTGTCGGGGTGGATTTTCTGCCCTTTGCGATCGGCGATGCGGCGCGATCGTCCGACCCCATTTTGACTCGGACCCCGAACGCCTCGCAGGGTCCGTTGCAAAGTGTGGCGCCGCCCGACTTCGAGGCCTGGCGGGGCCCACCCCGGACGTCCGAGGGCGGCCTCCCGGAGGAGGAGGGAAGAGGTCCTTCCCGTCGTTTTCGCCTCTTGGCTCCTGGGACCTCCGGCGGGGCCCTCGTCGCCACGGCTGGAGTCGTGCCGAATTCTCCGCTGGAGCACCCCCTCGGGAACGGTCGGGGAGGCAGCTTCCCCGAGTTTCAGCAGGTGTTCCCGCCTGTGGTGCGCTCCAGCAGCTTCGCCTCGCCGAGAGCGTCCCGGGGCTGTCCAGGTCGATACGATCGGTCCAATTCGATATCGAGTCCGGCTGGTCCGATCCGATTCGACTCCGATATCCCGACGATCCGATGCGGCCGATGTTTGTATCGTATCGTGGCAGATATTGGCGCGGCCGGTCCGATTCGATTCCAGGCCCATACCGATGCAGCCCGATCCGACACGCATTTCGATTCGATCCGATTTCCCGTCTCGATGGTGTCGGCTACGCGTAATAGTGGCCTTTCGCTGGAGTGACGTTTGGTCGGGCACACCAGGGTCCCCAGATGGCTGAACGCGGTGCGATAGCATCGGCTTGCGCGCTCGGGTTTATTTGCCCCCCCCCCGGGGGCGGCCCAGGGGGGGCGGTCAGGATGACACGCCGGCCGTTTCGACACGTCCCTCCCATGGCCCCCCCCCCTGGTCCGCGCAGATGCTGAAGCAGTGGCGAAGCGCCCTGGCTCGCCTATAGCTCTACCAAGCCAATTTCTAAGAACATCTTGTGGTTCCACAACAAATGTTCTTAAAACAGTCCTGGCGGAGCCTGCCTTGTTTGAACACATCGGGCTTATGTCATAAGAACATTGTTTTTGTTATTAGAACATTTTGGGGTTCTAAGAACATTTCCTGGTAGGACAGTAGGAATGCCGGGACGGTCGGTCCCTGCTCAAAAGAGGGCGGTGAGGATTGCATGCCGGCCGTTTCGACACGTCCCTCCCTTGCCCCCCCCCATCGTCCGCGCAGATGCCTCGGGCCACGACGTGCTGACCCCCCTCGCCGGAGGCCCCCCAGACCACGGGGCGCAGTCTTCATGGGGGTCGGCCCCGAAGGGGCGGGATGTCCAGCGTCTTGAACAAGAGGCAGGACTGTACACGGAGGTCCTGCGCAGCCTTCGGCCCCCCAGATGCCGTTTTCGGGCCCTGGGCAGCCCAGAAAAAAGCAGTTGTGATGAAGAGCTGGCCCCAGGGGGAGGGTCGGGACTTCAGGGCTGGAGTGCAGAGTCGACCTGCCTCTAGAAGGCCCATATCCTCGGGCCATATGCCAGATGCCACTGTCACCTTCGAGCCACAGGCGTATGTAGACATATTGGGTGTCCTTACGTGTATGGACACACTCGTCGGGGTGCGCACGTCTACAGACCACGCGGCCGCTGCGCTCTGCGCGGTACGATATCGGAGAGAGGATAGATCCGTCTACGGTGCGCTCCTGTTCTAGAGCAGGACTCACGCGGCACTCCAGCTTCGGGAGCCCCGTCCCGAAAAGTCCACACGTCGCGCCCCCAGGGTCCGATGCCCTCCGGCCCGACCCGCGGCAGGAGCGCAGGCAGTGTGCAGGGTCGCGCCGCGTGGGCGCGGCAGAGGCCCAAATTGGGGGGGCGTTGCGGCTCGAACGCTCCGCGCGGTGAGAGAAGCCAATGCCGACGTCGTCACGGCACAGACCTCTCGCCGGCAAGTCTCGGGGGCCACGACAGGGGGGGGGGGACAGGCAGAAGGGGGGGAGGCACCGACCCCCAATCGCCCATTGATCGCAGACAGGGGCCCGATAGCCCCAACCTGCCTGGGAAGGTGCGGATTCGCTATCGGAGGCCTGGCGCCGATCTATCGGCGATGGATCGCCGATGCCAGGTCGATGCAGCCCCCCTTACGTAGGCCGGTCCCCCCCCTTTCGTTGCCCCTCAAAATCAGGGGAGCCGTGTGTGTCCTCGCAATTCCGTCTCCAGGGTGCAGTGGCGAGCGCCAGCGTCTGGTTGTCGATGAGACAGCGCCGATGTAGCGTCGACTGGCGTCGATGTTAGACGCTTCGCGTGACGCCACCAGTCCATCCAGAAGCGATGCCCAGGCGAGTTGCCTTGGTCAGGGATGTGGGGGATAACACGGTGGAGTAAGGGGGTGTGGAAGCCGTCATACCCCAAGAGGGGAGGAAAAGAGGAGGAATCGGAGGAGGAGGAGGAGGAGGAGGAGGAGGAGGAGGAGGAGGAGGAGAGGGGGACCAGGAGGAGGGAGGGGAGGAGGGGACCAGGAGGAGGGAGGGGGAGCAGGAGGGGGAGGGGGGCAGGAGGGAGGAGGGAGGAGCAGGAATAGGCGGAGGAGGAAGAGGAGGAGGAGGAGGAGGAGGAGGAGGAGGAGGAGGAAGAGGGCGAGCAGAAAGTCCAGAGGCCTCTTGGATGTCTCTCGGTGTCTCTTCGAATGTCTCTTGGGCGTTCCTTGGAGTCCTCTGGCGTCTTGAGGGCCTCCTGGCGGCCCTGTGGGCCTCGTGGAGCGTCTTGGGTGCATCGCATCTTGGGGAAAAATTGGAGGAGCTCGATCGAAAAATCGGGGTCACTAAATTGTCCCCCCCCAATTACGCCCCCCCCCCCCTAGGAGGCCCAAAGTGGCCCAAGGCCAGAAAGGAAATCATTCGTGCCTCCTCAACGAGGCTTGCTTGGCCGCCCCAACGCCCCGCGCGCCCCCTCCCCGTCCAGGCCCAGGAGAGGGACTAGTGGGAGGAGCCCAGCTACCCACAACAACAATTCGTCTCGCCCATTCCCTGGGCATCGCTCGGACGTGTGCATTTTTTCGACGAGAACCATCGGGCAAACAAAAACACGCACGAAACCGAAAAATGCACTGGAAATGGACGTCCGAGCGACGGCAAGTTCCCATCCGCCCTCGCAACACATAAGTAGCACCCGAATCTCAGCATGGACAGGGGCCGCCATCGACAACCCTCGGAAAGCAACCCAACGCAGACGCCATCCAGGTGCGAGAAACCTGCGAAGTGCGCAGCACATCCCAGCTGCACAACGGCCACCAGGTGCGCCACATTGGGCAACATGTTGACATTACGACCGTCCTTGGCATAAAAGCCAATGGAAAGTGACAGTGGGTTTGTTGTGTGCGGGTGTGCGCCCACGAGCGGTTTGCATGTTTTCTGACAGGGATGGCAGGCCTGCGCATAGCCTGCAGTATGCCCCACCCCCGCCGTCCCTTGCACAATGTGTTTTTTTTCTGTTGTTCGGGAAGGACTATCTGCCTACACGCCGCAGGCAACGTGCCGGCACCCCCGCCATTCGTATCAAGAACCAAGCAATGTGAGCGCGTGGCGTCCGCGGATGATCCAGACGTTGGTGCAAAGTGTATGTTGCAGTGTTTTCTGCAAGGGATGGCTGAGGGCGTCGGCATTGCACACAGCAGGCGATATGCTGCCTCCCCCGCCGTCCCTGTCAAAAAAAACAATGTAAGGTGACGTCCGCGCATGCTCCAGATTCGGAGGCAAAGTTTATTCTGAATTGTTTGTAGAATGGATTGTGAGAGGGGGTTGGCTGTCATGGGTGCCCGCCCGTATGGGTCCCAGTGGGCTGCCAGTCGGATGGGGGAGGGGGTGCATATGAATCGGGAGAAGTGGTAAACCCTTCCAGAGGGTGAAGAAGGAGTTGGACGAGGAAACGCTCTGAATCACTCACCCCCGAAAGGCCTGGTGGGTTTTCTCGTCGGCTAGCGTCGGTCAGCGTCGATTCGCAAGAGCCAGCAAGATGGCACGGGAGGTCCCCATGATCAAGAAAACACTCAGACAATTAATCGCCGACGCCGACCCCCAGGAAAATATGGGAAGATACGGGAAGATATGGGAAGTGGGGGGGAAGACGAAAACCCAGAACCCAGAAAACATCGGAAAAGATGGGGAATCCTGGGATCTGTGTCTACTTATTTGTGTGTGTGTGTGTCCCTGGGCCCCTCTACGTGAGTCGCCACCGAACGCAAACACACGGATCAGCTCCAGACCGGGGTACCCCTCCGCTTCCCCCTCCAGTCCTGCCCGGGCTCTGCCTCTCGCGGGCAGCCCCCGCGCCCCCCCGGCCCGACGGATTCGTCTGGCCCCTCCGGCCCACATGGCGCTTCTTGGGCAAAAGCGCCGGAGCGACGGCCGCCGGAGCAGATCTTGGGGACTCTCCTCTCTCCTCCTCCTCCTCCTCCTCCTCCTCACCCTCCTCCTCCTCCTCCTTCTCCTCTCCTCCCTCCTCCTCTCCTCCTCCTCCTCCTCCCCCCCCCTCCCTCCCCCCCCTCCCCCTCCGCCTCCCCCTCCTCCTCCTCCTCCTCCTCCTCCTCCTCCTCCTCCTCCTCCTCCTCGTAGAGGCGGGGGTCAGTGCAAACGGGGGTCCGCCAGAGCGCCGGAACTTGCAGGATCCTGCAGAACCAGGGGTGCATTGGCCTGGGCTTGGGTGCAGGATCCTGCCGGATCTTGCAGGATCTTGCAAAGCTTGATTGGCCCGAGTCTGGATTGACCGGGGTCCGTAGATCCCCGAGGATCGGGGCGCACGCAAGCATTTCAAAGGAGGAAGAGATATTGATACGGTTACCCTTGCCTTGTTTTCGCCTTTGGGGGGGCCTCCTGGGAGGCCTTCGTCGCCACCGCTGGATTTGCTTCGACACTCCTGTCAGAACGCACCCCGTACACACCAGTCGGGGAGAGTATGTAATGTTGGATTCCCAGATCCCGATCTATATTAGGCGCCTTCCTACGTCAATAATCGAGTGTTGTTTCCTGTGCCTTTCTCTTCTTCAGGGAGCTTTCAACGCCTTCTACCTCATGGTTCTACCTACTTCTTCAGCCCGACTGGTACCTTGTTGGTTCCGCATTGTCAGTGTCTCTTGGCATCCCAGATGGGGTGCTCGCAGATGGGGTCGGATAATCGCGCCGCATCGCCGATGCGGCTCGATGGGAGCCCGATTTTCTTCACGCCGACGGCGCTGATGCATCGCCAGCGTCGCCGATGCATCGCCGCCGCATCGGCCATGCATCGCCGATGCATCCATGCATCGCCGATGCATCGGCGATTCGGCGCGATCCTCCGACCCCATCTAAGAGGCCTATAGGGTCAGGGGTCGGCCCAGATGGGTGGCACCCACTCTGGCTGCAGCAGGTTTGGGTGTCATGTGGCGCCGCCTCCCTCTCTAGCCCCTCCGCTGGACCCGGGTTCGGGAGCTGCTTCGTTCGGTGATGCTCAGGACGTGTGTCAGCCCGGTGTGCGCTTGTCCCGCTCAGGCCCACCGATGGCACGCAGCTCGTGGCAGCCGCGTGCATATCGCACTGAGACCTCGTCAGTGGACAGGCGCACCTTGGCGCCAGCACGCGTCCTGAGGCTCCTCGACCCGTGGCGGGCCCAGCTCTCCATGACGTGGCCCTGGCCCGTGGCCGACCCGGGTCGGCGCCGACCCGGGCCGGCCCGTGCCCCACGGGCGGCGCGGGCCGGCAGCCCCAGCCTCCGGGCGAGGACCTCGAGAAGCAGGCGGAGGAGATGGCGCAGAAGGCCGGGGCCCGGGCAGCGTCGGGATCTTCGGGAGCCTTAAGGGACGGGGGTCAGTGCAGACGGGGTCAGCCAGGGCGCCGGATCCCGCAGGATCCTGCGAAGACCCCCTCTGGCTGACCCGGGTCAGCGAGCCGCTCGTGGCCGCGAGGCGGCCGCGTCTCATGGCTGACCCGGGTTTGCGAAGACCTGCGTTGCAGTTTTTTTGTCCCATGCATTGCAGTTTTTGGTTTCCTGCTGACCGGGTCTGGATTGACCCGGGTCAGGAGATTCCCGAGATCTCTGGGCCCCCCAGGCGGGGCCCGAGCAGACGGGGGGCCGGAGGATCGCGCCGCCTCGCCGAGGCGTCGGCGATGCGGCTCGAGGGGGGGCCCGAGTTTTGGGAGCGCCGACGTCGCCGATGCATCGCCGACGTCGCCGAGATGTCGCCGATGCCACGCCGATGCAGTGGCGCTCCGGTGCAATCCTCCGACACCATCTACTCACAACACGTCTAGCAGGCCTCTATAGGCTCCAGGCTCGAGGAAGAAGGTTGCGGCGTTCTGACAGTTTGGAGGCCTCTGGGAGATCGCGCTCGTCGCCACAGCTGGAGTCCCCTTTGAGGGCCTGTCTGGGGCGCGTCGGGGACGGTTTGCGGGTCGATGTCCCATGTCAGGACTTGGATCATATATGTAGACGTCGTGAGAAGATACGATCTGCCTCAGTCCGACGAGTCCAAATTTGCGCACATGTTCAGGAGGCTGTCCGTAGCGGGTGCAAAAGATCGTTCGTGTGCATGTGTGAGTGGGCGGGGTGTCAAAAGACAGCATCAAATGTTGAATCAGACACGATAGTCAAATGTTCAATCACCGTGTTCCATGATATCCATTTGCGTAAAGTTGACGAGGAGGAGAATTGTGCACGCGTTAAAGGCAGGTACGGTACGAAAGGCGCAAAGTATCTTTGCTAATTAATGTGTTTCAGTCGTTCTCTACTCCTCGATGCATTCTTGTCCTCATCTCAGCACCCTGCTTTTCCTAACCGTCGCTTGCCAAGCCAAGGCGTTACCAGCGACCCTGCCGGAGTCTGTGCGCAAGGTGAAGCTGCCAGCGGTGAAGCAGAAGATCCTCGACAGACTGAAGGCGCGGGGCCTTGTCGCAGGGCCCAGGGCCCAGGAGTGGCCGACAGAGAGGGGGCCAGCGCTTGTCAACCACGACGTGAGTCGCAGAATGATGTCGGCGGTGACGATGGTGAACGTGATGTCGATGGTGACGACGTCTGACCGATTACGAAGCTCATCTTGCCTCTGTCAGTGGCGTTGACAACGATGATGGACGGTTGGTAGCATTCGAGGAACAAGAAATAATGATCTCTTCGACAGCCAATGATCGAATGTTGAGCCACTGCGTGAAGCTACCTTCTCGCTGTGAATGAGCAGTCGAGATCGCGGGAGCGTCTCGAGCCTGCCCACGGATGCGGGAGAGTTGAAACGGTATCGGGGCAGAGACGATGCTGTGCATTTCAGCGTGTATGCCATGCCGGTGGTAGGACTAGAAGTTATTGTGTCCAAGTGGTTCTTACTGCCACCTTTGCAGAGACTGCGCACCACCACCGATACTGTGACTGTTCAAGAATTGGTGCCACTACTCTAACGACGACTAGAGATACTATCATATAAAGGGGAGCTGGGCACCCGGCCCCGAGGGCGGCACGCTTTTTCCCCCCCCCCGGTACCGTTTTTAGTTTCTGGGGGGACGATCCTTTTCTGGGCGCTTCGGGGGCTGCAAATCGGCCCCCAGAGCGATCAGACAGCCGTCCCGACGGCCCGAGACAGCCCGAGCCACCCCGAAGACGGCTTCCAGGCGCCTCAGACGGCCCAAGAAGCTTTCCAAACAGACCAAGAGGCCCCCAAGACGGCCCAAGAAGGTTCCAAGAGGACGACGAGTGCCCCAAGAGACCAAAATCACATATTTTTCTTAGGTGCTTAAAGGATTTGGGCGTTCTGACCGTTTCGGGCCTCCAACGCCCCTAAACGGCTCAAGAGGCGCCCAAGACCGTCCCGAAACGGCCCAAGAGTGGTCCAAGAAAGCCCTCAGACGGCGTCAGAGACTTCTCGGGAGCCCCCCCGGGACGGCCCAAGAGGGGCCCCAGAGCGGCCTAAGAGGGCCCCAAGAGGGGGAACACGAACCCACAATTCCCAGGCCCCCAGGAGGCCCAAAGAGGCCCCGCCGAGGCGCCTCGAGGTTCCCAAGAGGCCTCCCAAGAGGCCCCAAGAGGCCCGAAAGAGGCCCCAAGAAGCCCCAAGACAGCCCCCGAGAGGCTTCACGGCCGCCCTCGGCGAGGTTCCCGAGAGGTACCCCACGAGGTACCAACGAACACCCAAGAGGCCTCTGACACACAGCTCAGGCACCATGGCGGGATGGTCCGAAGGCCAACATGTACATATACCTGTATATCTATCGGTGTGTATGTACACGCACATCGCTACATAGGTAGAGATGTAGATGTGTGTGTATATATATATGTGTGCGTGAATACACATACATCTACATATGCATATACCTATGACTACGCATATGCATCAACAACTGAATACACGTCTACAAAAACGTATAGACGTAAGCACCTACACATACATGCATACATACAGATAGACCGACAGACAGACATCCATCAGTACATCCATCCATGCATGCAATCATGCATACACACATACATGGATACATGTCTAACCAGACACACGTACATATTATGTATGTATACACATATGTACAGATGGGAACGACGCGTTTGTTTCCGTTCACTATGTTTTGTGTTGGAGTGTTCCCAGGTCGCCCTGCCAGTGCCAGGTGGCACTGTGGCAGTAAGAACGAATGCCGCCCGATGGGCCCGCGCGTCGAGACAATGGCAACATGGCTCGGTCCGTTCCGCATGAGGCATCCTCGCAAGTCAGCGTTCCGAGACGATCTAATTTGACATGGTTTGGCTTGCTTCGCTTGAGACATCCTCGCAAACCTGGGCTCCCAGACGCTTCGCGAGAGGTGGTCTGGCCCATATCGACTGAAACATTCTCAATACTTTTGGGCTCGGGGATACCCGAACCTGAGGTTACTTCGTCCGTTTCGCTTGAGACATCATCGCTGCGCTAGGCTTCAAGGTGCCGCCCGCGAAGTGATCCTGTCTGTTTCGCCTGGGACGTCCGTCCACGCAATTATGCGCAAAGAGATGCCGCGTGCGAGGGGGTCCAGCCAGTTTCGCATGAGATGTCCCCGCAGTTCCGAGCAACCGTTGAGGAGTGCGAAGCGAAAAGGGAGGGGGAGGAGGAGTAGCAGGATGATTGAGGAGGAAGGGGAGGAACAAAAATGCTCGCATTGCTGTCAGACAAATACTCGTTTGTCAATGCTCTCGGGACACTTCTCGTCGCCAGGGCTGGACGAGGCTCGATCGTGCCTGGTGATGCGGGCTGGTGCTCTGCCAACGAAGGGTGTGTCACGGGCCCGTTCGCGCCTAGATTGTGAGGATGTCTCGAACGGTCCGTTAGTTTTACGGGGTGGAGGTTATTTCGGAGCCGTATGGCCCTCGCTGGCCACTACGGTTGGCTTTTGGGGCTGTTTGAGCCCCATCCAGGGCTTGCCTTGGCTGGCGAGGGGGACAGTGCGCCTGAGCCTCGGTGCCCAGGTCGCCCGGGACAGATTCGGGCGACCCTGGAAATCCCAACGGCGGAGTCGGGGAGGGCCGGGGAGGGGTTGCCCTCAAAAGAGTTGGGTGCGCCCCATGGCCTACAGAGAGCCATCCTCGCAACATCGGGCTCCAAGATGCCATGACTACTAGATGTCCTCTGGCTCGTCTCGCTTGAGACGTCCTCACCAGTTTGGATTGCAAGATGTGGTTCGCATGCGGTTTACGGGGTGCTCAGGCTCGTTTCGCTTGAGACATCCTCGGAACCTCGGGCTCCGAGGTGCCCTGACTTGAGGTTCTCTAGCCCGCTTGGCTTGAGACATCCTCACAATTCACACCTGTGGGTTTACGGCACGCGAGGTACTCTGGCCCGTTTCGCTTGAGACATCCTCACAACTCCGGGTTCCGTCGCAAGGTATTCAGGCTTGTTTTGCCTGAGACATCCTCCGAACCCTGGTCTACTGCGATATGCCCTTGATTGAGGTGCTCTGGCCCGTTTCGCTTGAGACGTCCGCACAACTGGGTTCCAAGACGTGGTCCGAGAGGCGCCATTGACGGAGAGGTTGCTTGGGCTGCCCCCGGTGCCGGAGCAAGTTGGGGTGGGGACCAATAGAAGGTGATAGAACAAACGAGAAGTCGCCACATGTACATCACCGAAGGTCCCGGTCCCGGGGCATCGGGCATTGCGGAGCCAGACTCGGGCACCCCAGTTCTCGTTTGATTTGCTTCAGCCCCAGACGACACGTCGTAGAACCCCCCAAAGACCTTTTTACATTATTTTTCGTGTTACCATGTCAAATGGCGGCAGGTCCCACGACCAACCTTAATGGAATTCCAGGGTCCAGTTGGCAGTGCCCAGCGGCAATGTTTGATGATAGATTCTCGAGCGCGACTAGAACCTAATCGCGCGCGAAGCGCGCGCGTGCTTCTAGTCTCCATTGTACCACGGACACCAATAACACGACTACTAATACCGTTGTTGGTATTGCTTCAGTTTAGGGTACTACCAGGGCTTCTACTGATTTTGAGTTTGGTGCTTATATTTATACTGGCGTCTCTTTGCAATTGCTGCTACTGCTGCTGCCAGTGTTAGTGGTAGCGCTACTGCTACCAATGGTCCTGATACATGCCTGCTATTGCAACGGCTACAACTACCTCCGAAGATTTTGCCGAGTGGGTTGCCCCTGCTCGGCGGTTGCGGCTGCTGCTGCTTCGATTTCTACTCGTAGTTAGTGTTGCCAATGTTGCTGCAAGTGTTGTTGGCATAACATATGATGTAACAAGCGCTGCACACACTGTTGATAGTGTCGCTGCTAACACGGTTGTTGCTACCACTGGTGTTATGGTATTTGCGGTGAGTTGGCGACCCCTTTGAGTCAGGAATGCGGTCTTTGCTGATGTGGAAGCACCAGAGCTGAAGCGAGAACGTTACTCCTAGTCACGAACGTGGCCAATGTTGGTTCGAAGGCATCATTCCCAACCAGGAGCGCGTCGAGCGATAACTGGCCCACGCTTTCGACGGTAAGAATAACATGGAGCCTGGAGAGGTGCAGGAAGAGCCCCCCTGTTGTTTCCCACTGTGGCTTCAACTCTATTCGACCTTCTCTGGTGGGAGAAGGAGACCCTCGCATGGAGGTGGCTCGCGGTTCACCCCTGTATGTTTTCGAAGCACCCTTCCGACCGCCTCCAGCGCAGCCAATGGGGGGCTCCGCGCGCCAGTGAGGCGGGTGAAGCGCCGATGCGAGAAATCCGCGCGGGTCTCCGAAAGTTTGTGTGCAGATGCTGGTTGTTCTTTTAGCCCTGGGATTCGGAGAAGCAGGCACTGCGAGCAGGCCCCACTCCGCGTGCCTCTCCTTCCTGGGGGTGGCGCACAGTCCCTCCAGGTCGAGGCCAAGAGGCTGGACACACCATCCCGAGATCCAGGGCGACCCCGGCCAGGGCCACGGTCGAGACACTGAGATGTGGGCCAGTCCAGGCTCAGGTCGACCGAGCGTGAGGGTGAATTTTCGCCAGCGTGAGCTTTCGCAGGCGGTTTTCCTCCCCGAATCCCTGGGTTCCCCCCGAAAAAAATTGGGGAAATTTGGGGATACACCCCACGGGGGATATTGATTCAGAAGCACCCCTATCTAGGATGGACGCCCCTCCATCGTACGTCCCAGGGTTAGACTCCAAATTGTTGGTCCATCCGAAAACCCCACGAAGCCAGTGATAGGGGTCGACATATCCCTGGTTAACCTTCGGTGCGGGCCCACAGGGGCACCCCTGGCAGCGGTTTGCGCGCGTGGATTTGGCCCCCCTGCGGCCCCCTGAAGCCGCGCACCAGAGGTCACTCCTACCTGGGGTCGCTCTTACCTTCTGGGCCTCCCAGATGGGGTCCGTATGGATGGAGTCGGAGGATCGCGCCGCGTCGGCGATGCATCGCCGATAACCTCGCCGATACATCGCCGATGTATCGGCGACTTTTGCGATGCATCGGCGACATCG